TGCTTACCAACTCTCACCACCTGGGGCCTGTTTGTGAGGAAGTTTAGAATCCATCTGCAGATTGTTTTTCCCAGCCCGAGGTCGACGAGCTTCGTGGCAAGTTTTGAGGGGATGATGGTGTTAAATGCCGAGCTGTAGTCGATGAAGAGCATCCTTGCATATGTATTCCCTTTTTCCAGGTGAGTGAGAGTATGTCAAACAATTCTTTTCTTTGATGGTATTTTTCTTTTAGTTGGAAACAATCCTGAGAGATCAAGGGGTGACTGATGTCCAACTTAAATATAAACGTGTATTTCAACCTCAGTTGAAGACCACTGAGAACACGGGTACGAGAGGCCTCCGTACAGGGAGCATCTATCATGCTAACCTTAATTTGAAACATACCAATCATTTTGTGCAAAGTAATTTAGTAAAAGAACAAACAAACAATCAGTGAAAAGGTTTTTTTCCTCTCTTTACAGGATGCTGAGAGCAGAAGTGCCAATGTTGTTTTACTGCACGATTAGTGGTTATAGTGGTTTGTAGAGCTGATGGATGGAGACAGATTATTTAAAGATTGTTGCGTTCCCCAGCAAATTTATTTACCCTATACTTGTGTAGTTCAAAACAGCTGATGTATATTCTAACCTAAGTTATTAAGTAAATTAAACTTTTACTTACTTAAAGAGTGTAATTAAAACAGTAGATCTTGTCCTCATTTTCCCCCTAAGGTTTTTGGTCATAATATTGTAACTATGGGTGGGAAGAAGAACCTATGCAACATAACATTAAATATTGTAATAATATGAACTCAAAATCAAAGTGCTAATAATAGATGCAAACCACTTTCAAGCTTTGAAAACTTTGCATTACAGGGCTTTGGACATGGCATCTAAGTGCTTTATTTTGAGAAGACTTTAAATTTTTAAAAAACAATTGTGTGAAGAAAATTTTTTTCTGCTTCTTTCAGTCAGTAGAAAAACAAACAAACATATTTATAGCTGCAACCAGACTGCTCCATTACTTTGGTAGTTACTCTCATGTTTTCATTTGGTCACCATAGCCATCTCTCCTAATCTGTGTTTATGGAGGCATGTGTTCTGTCTACAATAAAATAACTCTCTGAATGTTGAACCTTCTTATCCAGTGTTTTTCTGTTGTATTTATCCCCCCTTGCCTCACAGCACAGGTCTGAGAGAGATTATTTTTAAAACTAACAGTCTGAGATCACCCAGACAGGAATCTCAGCCATGATAAAACCTTTCCCATAACTCTGGTAAGATGTTCTAGTCTATCCCAAAAAAATACAGTCATCCACAGTGGCTTCATGTGTCTGGCCCGTCGGTGTGTGGGAGCTGAGTCTTCAGTCCTGCAGAGAATACATGCAGGAAGAGGTGGAACTTCATTTATATGGGCACACAATCAGCCAATCACATGCAAAGACTGAGATCACACCATTATGTGAAAGAAGGGCAGACGTTCTGAAGACTGTGGTACAGGCCAGGTATGCAGAGAGACGGGGAGCCGCATTTAAATGCAAGCGTGTCAGAAAAAGTAACAAGTGAACACATAAAATGAGCAGCATCTGACTACATTTCACTGATGTTGGAGACTGCAAAGCTGAATGCAGGATTTATAAAATTAGGAGATGGATAATGTGATACGCATTTTTATTTTTTTAGCCATTTTCCATTGTGGAGAATAAAAGGTTTCAAACTTTTCCAGGCTTTAAACCTCATACGTCCTCCCTATTAGCAGTGAATGCATAAAAACAAGGCTTTTATGAAAACACTGAATAAAAAATTTCTTCTTGAAAAAGACTAAATGTACAGTTCAGTATTGAATATTACATAAAATAAACTATGTACAAAGTGTCTTTGAATGGCAGACACAGGATGTGTCTGAGTGTCTACATGAGTCTCACAGGCCTGAACTCTGAACTTTTTGATCTGCTACCACAAACGAGCAGACGATGCATCAGCTTTTCCTACTGATAAAAACTTCCCGTATGATCATTCATATTACACAAAGTAATTATGAAATAAACAATTAACTTGTAGAACCAAAATGTTCCCGGTATTTGAGGCAAGAGGGAGTATGTTATGTTATGTGAAGGTGCAGCCAGAGCTCTGTTCTTGTTGTGTTTCTGGGTGTAAAATAAAGGACTTCACATTTAACTTTAACTTGTGATCTCCTCATAAAAAATCTGCCTAACATGTCTCTGCAGCAGCAGGAGACAATAAACATGTGACAGTATGTTGTGGTCAGATCTTCTTGCTTTGTCTGTGTAAAAGGAAGGAAGCAAAAACTTATAAAAAGTGTTTGTGGTCTTCACAGCTCTTTGGTATCTGCTGTGCTGCTGCTTCACTCTCTCTCTTTACAGAAAGTTGTAGAAGTTTTCAGACGTGTCACTGCTGGATGTGAGGATGGGAGCCACTTTGCTCTGTGAGCTGGGCCTATTCTGTGAGTACATCACTGACTCCTATTGTTTGATTCATACTGATCCATAAACATGTTTTAGTAAGAAGAACAGAGCATCAGTCATTTGTACCATTTCAGGTCATGTGATCAGAGGACTCTCATGTTTGTTACCAACATGGTTGTTTGTAGACTGGATTAGATTTTAGTGCACTGACTTAGATCAGAGTGGAGCTGCTTTAGTTTATCTAAGAAAGGTTTGTTTAGTTTGATAATGTCTGAAGTCTCTGTCTTTATTGTAGTGCTCTGTACGCTCCTCTGCACTGGACACACTCAAGGTGACTGAACAGTTTTCACTTTTTTTTTAACTTCTTTTTATTCATTTAGTAAAGATTCATCTCAACCTACTGCATCAGTTTTAAGCACTTTCTCGTTTTTGCTCATCTTTGCAACACATTTATATTTTTTATGAACATGTTGTTGCTTCTTGACTAAATAAAATAGAAGAATTTTTAAGATTTTCCTGCAAGTAGCAGGTTTTATGACATTAACACATGCTTTAAAAAATAATTTATGTATCTGTTTTACTTTAATTTTCATAACAGCAGATAAACCCAGGGCCACACTGACAGCAGGAACAACAATCATACCAGTAGGGGGCAGTGTGACACTGACCTGCTCTGTGCAGAGCTCTGATGGATGGAAATATGAGTGGTTCAGACGAACCCAAAGAATCTCTGAACTTCAAATCAGAGATCAACAAAACAGAGATATCAGAGTATCTCAAGGAGGAATCTACAGCTGCAGAGGAACAAGAGGAAACCCAGTTTACTACACTGATAGAAGTGATGATGTCATCATTAAGAAAACTCATGAGTTCAGTAAATTAGTTTACTAAATATACAGTAAGCTAAATTACTACATTCAGTCATGATTATCAAACATACAATGTTAAGGTTTCTCTGTTGATTTCATGTTTCTATTTGTATCTCTGTTTTAACCTATGTACTGTTAATATGTGTAAACAGTTTCCAATAAAGTTGTTGTAAAACAACAACCCAACTGGCCTCAGATATTCAGAGGTGAGACGATCACTCTGACATGTGAGGTGCAGGAAGGAGGTGAAACCACTGAGTGGGAGTATGAATGGAGAGGACCCAGGACACCCACACAGTGGACACACAACAATGATGTGACATTGAGAGTTTCTGAGTCTAGCAGTGGAGACTACATGTGTAAGAGTCGACGCAGAGATGACTCATATTCTTCAACAGAGTGGAGTGAAGCCTTCACATTGTCAATATCAAGTAAGTCATGTTTGTTGTGTGAGCCCAGGATGAATTCAATGGTCTACAAAGGATGTTACATTGTTACATTGTTACAAAGAGCTACAGCTGATAGTAGCTCATTGTTGGCAGTTTGTCACCACTTTGTCTCCTGAACTTTCAGCTGGTATAGGGACAGCAATGCTGACCTGCTGCTCCATAACCCGAGGACCATAATGATATAAATAATGATAAAAAATGTTTTTTGTAAGCAGGGAGGCAGATTTGGTTTGTGTGTGTGCATGTGTGTGTATACATGTTTAGACATCTTTGTAAGGACAAAAAATTGGCATGCTACTATATTTGTGGGGACCAAGAGTCCATTGTGGGGACAAAATGCTCGTCCCTGCAAGTTTGAAGGTATTTCTAAGACTCAAAATGTGGTTTTAGTGTCAGGGTTACAATTAGGTTATGGTTAGGTTTAGGCTAAGGTTCAGGATTAGGCCTTCAATTTTTCAATTAGATGTCCTCACTAAGATATGACAATGAGTGTGTGTGTCTGTTCCTGTCTATCTATCATTGTGAGGACTGAAATCTGCATTCTACTATACATGTGAGGACCAACAGTCATTTGTGAGGACACACACCTGAAGGCCGAAAATGTGGTTTTAGTGTCAGGGTTACAATTAGGTTAAGGTTAGGTTTAGGCTAAGGGTCAAGGTTAAGCATTCATTTTTAATGGTTATGGTTAGGGTAAGGGGTTAGGGCAAACATTATGTCAATGAAGGTCCTCACTAAGA